ATATATTGTTTTGATTCTTAACCATTGAGGTTGTTGTTATGGCTTCATATTCTCAAAACATATTCGTGCTACTTTTTCTCGTCTGATGTCGAAGCTTGTGTGCTTCTAGTGACACTACTTTGCGTAAAGAACCTTTCTTTCCAATTAAGTGAAGTGGAGAGTGATCCTTTGGTTGTGCTACAATAGTTGATCTACCGTTTCTTCACGATGTTGGATGTAGTTCGTGTCGCTTTATTCCTGAGAATAAAGTGGCTTTAAATCTAGCTAGTCCTTCCTCAGCTAACCGTTGTTAGATCGATTGTATTCCTCGATTTGTGGGTCGTCATTATTCAATAGGTTTGTTTTAGCTTCTAAAAATATAGCTAAATGATCAACGGTGAACGTTGAGGGACCACAATGACCACGAGTGGGGAAGAGTATATGATAAAATTTGTACAAGATTTAATTAAACAAACAATAAAGACAAAATCCAGAACTCTTTATTTTGTGCCCATTCGTATATCCTTGTAGAAGATATATTGAAGGTGTAATTAAAGCCCCTTTGGCACGTTTCCTTCCCCATATATTAATTTCATGATCATTTTATTTACTTAAGTCATTTATAAAGTTTAAATATAAATATTAATGCGTGTATATATTGTGACCGCCTTATAAATTTCTTCCCGTCATTTTCCTTCTAGTCTTTACCCCTTCACCGTTCAGACCCGTCTTCACCCATTCATTTGCAGATTAACACACGCGTAAACATACACAACACACACATTATTCCACCTTCTACTTCTTCTTCTTTTGCAAGAAATAAATTTTCATCTCCATCAGGTTTTTGAGGTGGGTTTTATTTGATTATCTCTTGCATACTCACAGACCCCTCTATGAGTGTGTGTTTTCTTTTCCCCTTTTTTATTGCCTTTTTTTGCTTTGTTCATACCAGCCGAGAACCCTAATGTGGTTTGGGTTTCAACTGAACTAGATTCTCCTTAGTTTTTGGTATTGAATTTGGTATTTGAAGAGAATTCAGGGTATTTTCAGTGTGTTATTGATGAACAGGGTTTGATCCATATTGATTTTTCTATTCATTTTTGGAAATATTTGATTTGAATATGTGTATTAGAGTGTTTGGTTTTTGCAATAACATGTGTAGATGAACTGTTTGACGATTCGCAGGTGAGTAAAATAACAAAAATGGGAAATGAAATGGGTCCTCCATGGTTGAAGCCAATGCTGAAAACTGATTATTTCTTTCCCTGCCCGTTTCATTCGGATTCAAATAAAAGTGAATGCAATATGTATTGCTTGGATTGCATGGGAAATGCATTCTGTTCTTACTGTTTGATCCATCACCAGGGCCATCGCCTTGTTCAGGTGACACTTTTTCGAATAAATTATATTCGAAAATCGCCGTATTCTTGAGCTTCTTTCTAATGGAATTGAGTTGTTAATTGGGTTATGAAATTGCAGATAAGGAGATCTTCATATCATAATGTGGTAAGGATTAACGAAATTCAGAAGTACATAGACATTTCTTGCATACAGCCATACGTTATAAATGGTGCGAAGATCGTGTTCTTGAATGAGCGACCGCAGCCGAAGCCCGGAAAGGGAGTTACATACACTTGTGAAATCTGTGCACGTAGCCTTCCGGACTCCTTCCGGTTCTGTTCCCTTGGTTGCAAGGTATGTTGTTAAATTCAGAGTCGGGATGAATTCTTTTTTGTCACTCAGTTTGTCTAATTGGTCTCGATTATGTGATATGACCAGTTGAATGGCATTAAGAGAGGCGATCCGGAGCTCACATTTTCACACGAGAGAGGAGCATGTGATGAGATGGATTCAGATGATGAGCCATCAACTCCAAAGAAGATTGCATTTTCATCAGGTTCCGTTAGTTCGGGAGACGAGAATGTCAACTGTATGTCTCCCGATACACCTCCTTTATTCAATCGTCATAGAAGAAAAGGCATTCCTCATCGTGCCCCTTTCTAATGTCCCAAAATCATCATCAAAGATTAGATTTCAAAAGCAATGGTTTAATTGATACTTAATGCTACATAATATGTTAGTGTGTGCAAATTTTCTAGATGAAAAATGTATATAGGATGATAAATATATAGTTGGGTTTTCAGTTTCCACTTTTTTTGTGTACATATATACACACGCCTTGTATTGTGCTCTTACTTTGGAGAAAAGATAAAGCAAAGGTTTGTTAAAGCCTTTAGTACTTCTGAATCCTATTATAACAATCTTGTATTCGATATTCGTGCTATTGAATTTTCATATGAGTAATGCTATTTATCAGCATTGATAATCAACATCAGTTTACGTGTTAATATTCAAAGAAGTTCTTCTCGACGTGAATATTTTGTATAGTAAGTACTCCGTAGACGGAGGTTCGCTTCTTGAAATCACCTTTCGGCTTCCGCTGCTATCTTGAGAGCATACTTGATAGCAGATAGACACAGGCGACGATAGAGTGGTCCCCCTTCGATTCCTGAGATATTTGCATTAGGAGTGAAAAGTCCAAGCTCCGCATTTGAACATTATAAAAAAAAAAAACCCTAAACACTATTTATTTCCAATTATGGAGTGTGTGCTCCACTATAACTAGACGGTGATGAACAACATTATTCTTGAATGTCTGCTAACTGAGAAGGCGGGATATTTTGAGTCGAAAGTAACCATCGGTAATGGGGCGAGAATCAAGCAATATAAAACTCGACACGTAATAAAGAACTCTGAAATTTTCCAAATTGGATCAAACGGCTATCATTTATGTTCCTTTCTTTTAGTAGGGACTGATTAAAAATGGGGTGGAAGTTTTGCCGCAGTATGATTAAGACGTTGATTTTTAATAGCCATTTAATTAATCTATCTTTGTATGAAAATGGGTGGTGTAAAATGGTGGAGATGCTTGGGGGACACGTAACAGCCCCCACAAAGAGAAATTGACATTTCTCTTCCTCCACTATTCCCCGGATGTTACAATTATCTTCCGTTCATTATTTATTATCCAGAAAAAAAAATTAAGAATATGAGAGTGGGTGCCTATATTATTCTTGAACAAGTGGACTAGAGAGCCGTGAGGAATCAGGAAATGCTGCGTGACTTTGCTTCTTTTTTATTTTTTGGCTGTCACTTTTTCTTTTTTCTTCCCCGTCTACGTAATGCCCATTATCTATATAAAAATACATAATCCATCGTAATCAAAGGAAATTTATAATTTTAGTCTACGAAATTACAATTAGGGTTTCTGTTGACACTTTAATCTTGTATTGTGACTTAGTCATTTATTAGAGATTTGTGTAGAAAGTTCTTTAGATTGCTAAAATGTGTCTTTAATTCGAGAAATGGTCGAGTTTAAGTCTAATCATCAATTTTAAAGTCGTCAATAAATTTTTTTTTTTTAAAAATAGAATAACAAATCAATATTACAACCTTGAAGGGTTGCTCAGTTGGTCAGGTTTTGTATTTGCTCCACAATACTTACCGGTTCGAGTCTCCTCAGGGTCACTGAGGTGAGTATCCGGCCGTAAACTTTAGGGTCCCATGGGATTAGTCGAGGTGTGAACAAGTTGGCACGGATATCCACGATTATAAAAAAAAATCAATATTACGAAAAGAAAAACTAAATTCTTCCTCTTTTATTTTTCTCATCCCGTCATTAAACATGAAAATCACATATGGAAAATGACTTTATACATTTATTAATAATAGTCTAAAAGTAATGAAAGTATGTCACTATTGCAACTTCTTGAATGGTCCCGCTTATGCATTTTCTGTGAAAGTGTCTTTAATTTTTCAAAAATGAAAAATGATAGACTTTTCACCAATCGAATATGAGTACCTTTATGGAGATTCAAAAATTGCACAAAATTTTCTAGTCCTACGGACTCATTGACAATATTCTAGAAATTAGAATTCTTAGATTAATATTATGTGATCCGAAGATTATAACGTCGGGAAAACTGTTACCGTCACAATGATATTTCATGTTGAATCATCAAGAATTTGTAAATCGAAGTGGAAGTGTACCTGAATCAGACATGATTATCACAATGAATGAATCATACGGTTTTAGTCTTCCAGATCAACACGTAATTCTTTATTTCTCTATGTTGATGGGAGTGAGAACATAATCAATAATTCACGTATGATTCGGGGACCATAATCGTATGTATACACGAACGCCCTGTTAACTTAATTCGGCGCATCATGATATTAGGAACAGCCCATCATGTTGTGATTCAGTGACGGATTGGGTGCCATTTGGCCTCCGATGTTAGTGTTGCTCAAGATTAAGACCACTTCACACTTGTTAAATAAAAAAAAGGGTGTTATTTTCAGAATGAGTTTGGTGCCATTTCTCAAATATATTTTAGGTCCCTTTACTATAGAATGAGGGATTTTAGTATCTCTTTAGGAGCTGGCGGTTTTCATGCCAATTTATTCGGAGCGGCTATATTTGTAATATTATTCCTTCGTTGACCCTCTTATTCTTATGGAATGGAGCCTCGAAGGATCATTTGATGGGTCTATTCCTAACTTCTTCTGCCCACATTCTCGTTGCACCTTTTCAAGGCCTGGGAGAAGTTCTTTTCCATCACCTTTTCCCTTAGTGATGCCAACTTTAGATTGAATTGCTACTCTTCTTTTCTAGTTTGAGTGAAATCCAATTGTGTGGATTTCTGATTGCCATTCAACCACCCATGACTGGGGCCTCATGGCTCAGTCTTGTAGGTGTTCCGTCGATGTCCCAAAAAACTTCTTAGTGGTCGGGCACAGGATTCATTTCATTATTCTAATGAATGTCACCATCTCTCTACTATCACTTTTAGTTTTTCTCATATATCTAGCTTAGTTTGTTTTGCTTTATCTTCTTAAACACATGAATGAAACCATAGTTGAATTGAACTGAATCTCGTTTACAATGACCGCACCGCCACACAAGTTGTTCATCATCAATAGTGATTAATTTTAGCCACGATTCATTGTCTAATTGAGTTAGGATGCATGGATTCATGATCATCGCCATTGGCGATGAATATCATTATTCAAAATTTTTAGGTTTATTTTCTCTTTGTCATCATGTCGTTTTAGTTGTTTTTATAGTATTTGTAAATCATTTGCACATTCGTTTTGATCAGGGTTTATGCAATATGCAAAGCGAACCAACAGTTCTTGCTTGGTCATGTATTTAAAGTGTTTATAAACTATAGATTCTATGAAATGTTTAAAATTGAAAGTGAACAGTAAGTTATGAGTCATACAGATAAAATTTACGTTTTTAACACACTTAAAAAATTTAAAATAGACGAAAACACTCCAATCCAGTCGTCTCCTCAAAGTGGTCACGCTTTCCTTCCCTCAAAATAATGCTCTTCGCAACGATAAATAATTTGATACTATTGCTTTTCGACAATGTAATTGTTTACAACCACAAGAAGTTACATACTTTCTGGGGCAAAGTTGGGAAGTCTTTAAGTTCAACAAATGCAAAAATTTATCTTATAAATTTAAGTGTTTCAAACAAAGTAATATGTAATAATATTGAAACAATCAAGATTTTTATTCTCTCCCTTTTTCATACTTTCATAACGTTGTGTAACTCTGAACATATACACGTTAAAGTATATGTACCAATAGTCTGCTTGAATTAAGCAAACACAAACATTTTAAAGCAAACCGAACAACAAATCCACTTCAAATTAGCAATTAATACAGATTAAAGCAAGCTCAACAACATCGAACTCAAATTAGGCAATTCTAACGACAATCCGCTCAAATTAAGCAAGTTCTATTCAAAATGAAAAAAAGGCGACTCCTCCTACCCCTCCACCACTGCATACTCCTTTTTCCGTGACTTACTAACATCTATGTTGTCTTAAGTCGTGACATTTGCAGAGTCTTTGTGATTGGGATCGGGATCAGGGTGGGCAACTTCTTCCAGTGCTTCCGCTTGCAGGAGGGCCTCTTGAGCCGCACCCGAGGACACAATTCACTATTGACAATAAAAAAGAATGAATTGAGAAACTTTTATCAGTGGAGAACACTTGAAATTGCATATCATGATTGGTCGAGATCAAGTTGACACCTCGCTAGTATTATTTTCAAAATTTCTATCTTTTAAATGTAATATGAAAAAACAAATTTATTTAATAACAGCTGATTTTGGAATGATCAAAATTTAACAAGGCATTAATGAGATAGTTGGAACGAATCTAATTTTCTGAGAGGTGGGTCGTGTTATTTTGGACATTTTGAAGGCTGTTTCTATTAGGCTTTATAAAAATTTATTTTTAACTTATTAGACATACCATTTTAACTCTACACGTGTTTTGCAGAGTTCGTCCTAAACCCAAATAAAAGAGGATATTGTAACGAGTTAGATTAGAAAATGAATTAAATTAACGTCGGTTGATCAAAACTTTGATTGGCTCAGCCTTTTCATCGCACGCATGTACGTAACGCATCGACATTTCTTAAGGTTACATTGAAAGATGTAGTAGAAATTTTTTTATAGCATTGTAAATTGGATGATTTATTTCATGAATATACTAATAATGAATAAGAGCTTAATTTTGATTCAACATGTATATTTTACATTGTAATGTCCTTACATTAATTAATATAAAAAAAAAAAAGGGAACTCGCAAGAGCTGTGTTAACACGAAAACGACCTAATTTACAACTATTGTCCCGCATGTAATAAAACAAGATTTCCAAACACTATATACACTAAATAATTCAAAAAAACAAATAAAATGTTTGTTTATTTTTACTTAATATTGTCTAATTTACATCAATTAGTCAGAGTTGAAAGTGCATTGCACGTTATTCTTTATTAGGAGGATTTGATGTGTTTCAAACAAATTAAAGAAACTAAAATTTATGATAGAAATTTAGGGGAAGAAAATTGTACTCTTAAAACTCAACTTTTACGATTCAAATTTTTTGTGATGATGAAATATTGCAAATGAACAACATTT